GCGGCTCGCGGCTCGGGGCGGGGGACGCAAGGGCGTTGTAAGAGCCTGAAACTGAAGCAGGGCCCTGCTGCCTCCTGGGGGGCTGTTCTGTCTGCGGCTCCCGTCTCTTAATTGGCATCATGTGGGGGAGCGGGCGGAGCGGTGACAGCTGCGACAGGGATGCGGGGCGGCTCGGGGCGGGGGACGACGACGACAAGGGCGCTGTAAGAGCCTGAAACTGAAGCAGGGCCCTGCTGCCTCCTGGGGGGCTGTGTCTGTCTGCGCTCCCGTCTCTTAATTGGCATCATGTGGGGGAGCGGGAGGAGCGGTGACAGCTGCGACAGGCGGGACGCATCCCGGCGGAGCGCTCTGCTCAGCCGAGCGCCGCAGCCCCGGCTGGCGGGCGGGAGGCGTCGGGGGCAGGGGGACGCCGGGGAAGCCCCTGCCCTCGCCCCATCACTGGGCTGACCTCCCGGCAGCTTCTTAGCCACGAAGGCCTCTGCTTTCCTCGCCCCTCTGTTCTTCCCTGGGTGAATGATTGCTTGCTAAACACACGGCAGCACAGCTCCAGCGACCTGCGCTCTGCCTGCGGGTCCTCCGCCGCTTCCCTTCTCTCTGCTTCCCTGAGAAGTCGTACAAAGAAGTGGCTGGCAGAGATGCTTGTTTACCGTATTGGTTGATAGTGTGTTAGGGTGCTCAGTGGAAGCTAAACTGCTTCAATCCAGCAATACAAAGAGAGCCTATATATAGCCAAAGACAAAAATGTGCCAAGGGTGGAACACCAGCAACAAAAAGATCTGTAGTTACAAAGATGTTCGTTGCTTAAAGCCAAGGCAAACGCTTCTGTAAGTCTGTTCTTCACCAGAGCTAATCTAGATGAAAGTTGAAATTTTACGTTGTGTGAACGACCCATCTCCTTTCTCCTGTGAGAGCGGCAGGAGAGCAGGACTGGCCTTCACAGTCAGGCTGGTGTCCTGCTGCCATTCAGCATGGTCAAAGTTGGATCATGTGGAAGAAGGTGCGTGAAGGGCTGATGTGGACATGTAAGGAACAACTTTCCCCCAAACTTTCTTCCTAACCTCTTTGTGGAGGAGTGGGTCTTTGCCTTGAAGTGGTTTCATTAAAGAAAATGTTCAATGTCTGACAAGAAGATATTCAGCATCCCATGTACTGAGACAGTTATTTCCTCGCTCCTTTTCTTCTCTCCCCCATTTTTAGCTATAAATAGGGCCCTAGCTTTTGAAGTTTGGAGCTGTCCTGATTTTCATTTGGTCCAGCCTCATTTTGAAGAGGAATATCTATTTTAATATCTGGTTCAGGTCCTAAGTACTATCTGTATATCATAGAAACCATACAGTGAAAATATTCACAGGAGTGTTGGGCCAAATCATGCAATCCTTAAACTGGCAAGACTTTTGTAAGACTGCATGCTTGGCCCCAGATAATCTTTTGAAGGACTTAACAGCATGGCACATAAAACTTGCTGTGAATAGGCTTTTCAATATTTCAAATGAACAAGTCTCTATTCTGATCTCAAATATGTGGATGAGCTTTGCCAAGTACCTTAAATTCATCTTCTGCACTTACAATAGGATGTGACAGTGCTTTTTTGTTCTTTTGACACACTAAGCAGCATGCACCCAAATATTTGAAATGAGGACAGCAATTGAAGTCTACATTTATATTGATGAGAAAGATGCCAGACTTACTAACTTAGCTGTAGTATGGTATATTACACACTTAACATAAGATTTAACCTCAGTTAAAATTGCTTGGTAATATTTATCAGGTAATATGATACTTTGGTAAAAGCTTTACAGAAGAAGCCTTAGTAAGAAATCTGGAAGTATTTCACGTCCAGATATAATGGGGATGTTTAAATTGTTTCAATGGATTGATTGTATCTGAGATACTATGTATACCAGATAAACAGCATGTTACCACTTTTTATTACTTCAAAAAAAATCCATAATTACGAAGTATTTCCTCCCAGTATTTTTGATTTGTGCATATGTAGAGAATAATTTAAGATGCCCGGGTCTTAAAACAGGGTTATCAAAACAATAAGACTATGATGTTTGTAGTACTGAATAATATATAAGGTAATGATCAATAGTCCCTTACAGGGAATACATTTCATCTTTACATTAGCTTGGCTATAAATTTTCCCTATTGGCTTCAACTTGTGCTGTGTTAGATTCATGTGATTCATGCCTGTTATTGATTAGTGCTCAACTATTTTGCGGGAGATGCCAAATTAATTGTTCAAAAAATCCATGAAAGTGCTTTTTTATTGGCCACGTGAGGCTCAACACATACTATACTGTTATTTTATTATTTCATGTAAATATAGTTTCCAATAAGCTTTAAAAATAGTTACGTGGTGTGCTTAGACATGAAAATTCACAAAATATATTGAAAATGCTACCCTGTGCTTTATTTTGTGGCTCAGAAAGTAGTATAACACAGCAGCGTGCTTCTGAACGTTGCTGGATAACTCCTGTGAGATCATTACTGTCTTACACGAACACTCCCAAATAGGAAACAATTTCCATTTTTTTTCCACAAGACTGCTAGATTTATGCAAGGTTTGGCTGGTAGCATCCTCATTGAAGGAGGTAAGCAATTTGCAGGGAAGGCTGCCAAAAACCCCCCAAACCCTCAGAACCAGATGAGCTGATATTTGATACAGACACTTGCTGTACCGTGCACGCTGACGCTGATCTCAGGAGCTCTGCAGAAGCAGTGCTTCTCCGCAAAATGTTCTTATCTCTAGCGCACAAATGTCTGTGTGAGCTTGCTGTTGTGTGCACAGGAAGACTTAATCATTTATACACTATTACTTAGGTTTAGAATATTTTAATTTTCAAATTTGAGATGAGTAAAAAATAACACACCAGAGAGATGGTTAATATCTAGACAGAAATGTGTGAGACTCTGGACTATACTAAGGATTTTCATTTCTCAAGCCTCTGGAAGATCATACTGTGAGTAAATCTTTCCACATATTCCTGATTCATTGAAGCCTGGAAGTAGATCTTTCGGTTCCATGTGTAACATTGTTTTCATCTCACAATTCTGATTCAAATGTATTTTTTCAGAATTTATTTTGGAAGACAAATTTCACAGGTTCTTTAATACTGTTAATTTTGGAAATCTAAAAACTTGTGGTTTTTTTTTCTTTGTGTTATTTGTGCAAATCAGAATATGACTGAGATTTAGAGTTGTGTTTAGAAATGATGAGAAAGATTGAGAGTAATCTTTTAATTTGGTATGTTAATGCTGTCTGCAATGCATCATTCTAGCAGACACTCAAAGGACTTCACTGTTCAAGTATCGTACTTTAAGATATATTCATTTGTTCCTCATATTCCTCCAAACAACTCTGAAAATGGGAAAACACCTTTGAAAATAGCTGCTTGTTGCTCAGGGATCAGTCACATCTGAAAAAAAACCCTTTCAATGGAAACAACGTGTACATTGTTTGTTTTTTCCTGCATTTTATAGGTATACTGGAATTTATCAGTATAGCAGTGGGCTTGGTCAGCATCCGAGGAGTCGACAGTGGACTCTACCTTGGAATGAATGAGAAAGGGGAACTGTACGGCTCGGTAAGTTCCTGCTTGTCTTGGGCAGTCATGATCCTTATGTTCTGTGGGAAAAATACTTGATAGCTCCTGTAAGCCCCTGTTGCACTAGGTGCTGTACAAGCACTGTTTCTGCTTTAAGTATCTTGGAGTCTAATTAGAAACAAGACCCTGTGGGTGGTATAACGAATATGGGAGAGGGAAAAGGTGACAAAATCAGGAATGAGTAATAATGCAGACAGACAACAATTTAGATACAAGCAATGGAGACTGATGGCTTCTGAGCGAAGAGCAGGCTAGGGGAGGAAGCCAGAAGGTAGAGATTGTGACAGTGTATGTGGGAGGCAGAAAAAGAGGTGGTAGAATGAGGGGCAAGGCTGGGATGGAGAATGTGTGGACATGGGAGAAGGGGAGATGTAGAGAAGATGAGAACCAGTGAGTGGGAAAGGCCAAAGAAAAGGGATTTAACATAAATGGCAATATGGAGGAGGAGAAGGTTGAAAGGATGGAGAGGAAGAGAGAAAGGGAATGGATGCAATGACATATGTAAACAAGTTGTCTGTGAGGAGTGAGTAAGCTGTCATAAGTCACAATCCTTGTGCAGCTGATGAATGGGATAAAGAACTGGCGAAGTCATGAGTGCTTTTATGGTTCAGTTAGGCAGCCAAAAGGCAGAACAACAACAGTAATATGAATCAGTAATGTTGATAATCATCAGTAAGAGTAATCGTTTAAACAGCTAAACATAGTGAATCAATTACTCTACACTTTAGATATTCAGAAAAAGAAAATGTGGTTATTGATAGAGCTTAAATGCATAGACCTGGGAAAGCAAATGTTACATCACTTTTCTGTGCAATTTATATTTTGTGTTTGCAATATGTTTGACTGTCAGAGTGAATTACTCAAAACATTCTTTGCTGAAGAAACATGCACAAGAAATTCTTTGTAAATTACTAAGCTCACTGCGTTAATAAAATAGTTATTCCATGAGCAGCAGTTCTAAAGGAGCCTGCTTTCCTAGGAGTTTGTGTCTCTCAGTCTGGCATGGGTGTCCCTGACCTTCTGTCCCTGCAGTAGCACAAATTCCCCAGCCTTTTGTGTTTCTTGCATGGAGAAAGAGACAGTGTTAGCTGTCCATGCTCACCGGATTGTCAGTTTGCAGGGATTACATTGCTCACCACTCCCAAATGGGACGTGCAAATGATTTCTCTTCTTTACCCTGCCTCTGATTAGTCGCAAAACTGATAGGAACTTAATTTTCCTGAAGACCTTTGCCTCCTGATTGAAACTGGTTGAAAAGCTAAGGAAGGACAGACAGGCAGGCAGATGGATGTACAATATAATTGGATAACCTCTTTTCCCTAAGAAATGACGCTAAAAATATGAAGCCATTCATAATGGAGAACTGGCAATCTATAGGGCCAGAATGCAAAGTTCAGGTTAAAATCTGATGGATGATATGGCTTATTGTCAGCCTCCAGAGATGGGACATACTAAAGAGTGATGGTAATTGAATTACATTACTTCCAATGAAATATAACCTCTAATGGCTACTCAGCATGATGATGCTTTAAAGCCTTGTCAACACTAGCAATCCTAGTGCCTATATTTCAGCAACTGTCAGCTCTCGTAGAAACACTGAGATAAGCAGGCCTCAGAGCAGATTTTCTTGTAGAATTGGCTGGACATTTTTAAGTGACGGTGTTTTGGTTTTGGTCAAAAAAATGCAATTAATTGAAAATGAAGTTCTCTGATGGGAATAAATATTGCAGTTTGAACCAGAACAATTCTGCCAGACAGAATTGTCTTTCTGGTGAGAGAGAAGATCATTTTAACTGAAATTAGTTTTGAGACTGATATGTGATAGACTGAGGTTCAAGTTTTTCACCTGAGTTAAGCGAAGTGGTCACTTGAGTTGAAGTGTTCTGTAGCACCAGCAAGCTGTCCTTGTGCTGCCTGTGCTGGGAGGTGGGTCCCTCTGTCTTGGTTTCTTCACTAAGGGCCATGAATAGCACTAGCTTTGTCATAGAGCAGGTACACTTACAAGGCTGTGAACGTGTTTTCTAAGGTGGGAAAACCGTTTCCCATGCACAACTGAATAGCAACCTAAGAAATACTTGGTCCTGCTCTACGTCAACATTGTGGATCTAAGCAGGTGTGTTTCTGCAGGCATTCAGTACTGCAGCACTTGACACTGCCGGAATAGATGCCCCGTGTCTATGACACTATCATATTTATATTCAAATTACTGCATGAAAAATATATTGGGTGTGAATCAAATCAGTGACCTAAAAGACTTCTATCTTTCTATATTTGTGTTTGAAACATTTGGCACAGGAAGATTTTTCCCAGCGTATTTGTGGTGCCACTGGAGATGGGACATATGGCAAAGCAGAGCAGCCAGGATGGGTGATCACTGCCAATTTTTATGAAAGGCAACAGTAAAGGCAGTTTCAGTGTATCTTGATCCAGACATGTTCCTTTTGGCCTTCTCAAAGTGCTGCTTTCCTCCTAGATTAGCTGCCTGACAAACTCTTCCCAACTTGCCACTGTTACAGGAGGCAGTTCCTACTGCATCTTCTGGTTAAAAGAACACAGTGACTTTTATGCTGCTCTCAGGCAGCAACATATAACATAACAACATATAACAATCTTCATCCCACAGATTTAGCCAGGGAAAGCTGAAGATATATGTAGGTGGTACTGCAGAGAAGCCAGTGGTAGCTACATAGCGATGACTTGGAGGCCGGTTAGTGACAGCAGCTTTCCCTCCCATCTCTCTCTGTTCCTGCTCTCCCTTTACCTTGCCTTCCCCTTGCAGCCTGTAGCTATGACTCATCGTGTTTCACAACAGCTACTGTGCTTGTCACTGGAGAGGAGGAAAAATCCAAACTACAGGTAGGACCGGAAGGGTGTTAAGACAAGACACGAAGATTTTTTTCCTTCCTGAGTGCCAAATGGCTCTTGCCAACACCTTGGGCAAGAGTGTTAGCAAATGTGTCTTAGCCGTGCTTCTCGGTGCCATGCCATGGAGTGAGGGAGGTCTTTCTGATCAGTCCCATGACCTTCATGCCTTCATGGGCTGTCCCCACCCTTGCGCTGCCCTGCACTGCAGCCTTTGGGAATATCAACAGTTGGCACCCACATGGCAGGCAGTGATGAGCTCCCACACCACAGGGTGCCCCTCGTTTGCACTGCAGGCTGTCCTCTGAGGTGGTCCTGTGCTACCTCAAGCACAGCAGGACCATGGGACACCCTCGCCTCAGCTGCCCTTGCTGTCCTGGGCTCTCCTGCAGTAGAGAGCTGTGCTACATCCCACTGCTGGCATCCCTGCCCCACAAATCTCCCATGGACACGGACCTGCCCCACTCCTCTCCTCAGACTAGATATAAGGAAGAAATTTTTTACAATGAGGGTGGTGAAGCACTAACAGGTTGCGCCCAGAGAGGTTGTAGATGCCCCATCCCTGGAAACATTCAAGGTCAGGTCGGACTGGGCTCTGAGCGACCTGATCTAGTTGAAGATGTCCCTGCTCATTGCAGGGGGATGGACTAGATGACCTTTAAAGGTTCCTTCCAACCCAAACCATTCTATGATTCTATGATTCTATGAAATGCTGGTGTCTCCATTGCTCCCTGTGTCCTTGGCAGGTGGCAAAAGGCAGCTCAGGTTGGATGCTTAGAAGGAAAATTGGGAGTTGGAAAATCTGGAGCAGCTACAAGGGGAGCTGTGCAGGGGGGAGGAGGAAGGCAGAGGTGGAGATGGTGGAGTTGTTGGGAAAGGGGGAGAGGGCTAGGAGTGCTTGGAAGGAGATGGGAGGGGAGGGTAGAGAGAGAGAGGCTTCATGTCGCCACAGAGCAGCAGGGACAGAGTCGAAAAGCCCAGATCTGGAGCCAGGGAGGGAGGCTCCTCACCTCTGGGTTTCAGACTTACAGGGTGTGTGCAGCGAAGTGAGTTTTAGGACTGCTTATAACAAGGTAATAAATTGCTGTCCTTCAAAAAATTAACTGAAAACTTGTTTGTCCCAATGTTTTTGGGACACTAAACCTGCCTTTTGCTCCTAAAACTACTGGGGAGAGAGTGGAGGAGAGGAGAGAGGGGGGGGGAGAGAGAGAGAGTACTGTCCTTGAAGAAACATGTTTTCCCAGTAAGTGTGTGGAGGGAGGTGACGATATGCCTCTTTATTGTCCCAGCAGGGCTGCACCTGCAGTGTTTTGTGCTTTTGTTTGGGTCCCCATAGTCCTGGAAGGACTATGTAGTTACAAAGACGGGTGAACAGAAGTTTTTTTTGACAAAAAAGGGACAATTTTTCATAGTTTACTGAAAATTGCTTGGTGTAGGTAAGGATTTGTTTTGCTGCATTCTGAAAATACCTTTTATGTTCCCGTGCAAATAAGGGAAGGGAATTGTTCAGCCCTTCAAATGGTAGGTCAAGGTGCACGGAAACAACATGAAGAAAAAAACAGGTTGAAGGTGCATGTTGGGAACAACATTTGGGCCAAGTATATGGTCACTACAGATATCTAAGAATAGGATAGATAAATAAATTACCCTGCAATATCATTCACACTTTCCTGTTAAACACCTCTGATCTAAAGTGATTCCATATGCTTCAGACCGATTTTTTTTTACTAATCTGGATTATCTGTCTGTCAGTGTACACACAGGTGCCTGTGGCTGAGGTGAGCCTGGAAACAGGACAATTGCAGCGTACAATTTTTGGAGGGAGAATTAAATGCAGTTTCCCTGAGTGAAGATGCAGACTTCTAGGCTGAGAGTGGTCAAATCCCAGGAGGGATAACGGCTACAGCAGCAGGTTTAACACCCTTCTGCTTGTATGTAAAATAATAAAGTGCCTTTTGGTAAATGGTACAAATGGTGGAGAGGCAGAGGGCAGTTCCTCGGGCAGCTGAGTTGCGAGGAGTGGTTAGGCTTTCCGCACAAGCAGCATTGCTCAGGAAAACCTGTCACTCCCGTAATCAAAAATGCGATGGTGTCTTTTAGCAGTAACAGCAACTCTT